TTTTAATGTGTAATAAATTATTACAGAGAAACGTTCAATTTAGAAAATTATGGAGTAATTTAAAATCAGTACAGAGAGATGTCCTTACGCAGGAAAAACATGCACGTTTATCAACAGGTGGTGAACCTGAACCTAAATCTGCAGAGATTGACCCGGACATTGCCGCAATAGCACCCAATTTAATGACAATTGCACCAACATTATTTTCATCAAATTTATGAGATAAAATACTAGAAGGTAATTTCATCTTTATTTTATTTATTTATATTATAATAAAAATTGAAAAAATAGTAACAATAAATATTTTTCAGAACGACAACAAAGAATATTAATGATTGTATTACTGACGAATTAATTGAAAATGTGTGTGGAGGGCACAGACTTTATTGATGATGATTTCCAAGAAGTTAATAATGATTCTATTATCGCACTTCATACAAATGATAAAATAACTAATTTTATTGATATTTTCTATTAACATATTTGTTTATGAATAAGAATTTAGAATTGATGACAATGACAATTGAATGTTACAGACTCAAGCAGTGATGAGACTGATAATGCTGAAAAAGAAAATAATCCAGTAAATGCAATATTAAAAAATAATAATAAAGATAAATTGTATTAATATATATATATTTATTTTTAGACACACCCTCTCTCTCTCTCTCTCTGTGTATGTGTGTGTGTGTGGTGTGTGCGTGTTGCGTAGTATCTTAAGCATATTAACAATTTGTATTGTACTGGTGGAACCGGCAGACCACGATTGTTAATTTTTGCTAATCCTTCTTCATTTTTGTTAATATTTCATATAGGAGAAATCCTTATTAATCTATAGCGTCTTTTAATTGTAAATTATTATAAAAGGGTTTTAAAGTCCATCACAAATGTATCGTTTTCGTATACGTTCTCTACTTGAAAATCACGATCAATCATTATTTTCAATATCATCAATTTCTTTCATTAATTCCATAATATTTAATAATAAGCTTATCTTAAAGTCATGTACGACTGACTTGAAACCTTACTTTCTAATAAACATGATCTCATTTGATTCAAATAAGGCCATCAAGATTTGATTATGAATCTGACTAGTTTTGAAGACATGCTTAAGAAGAGAAAGGCATCTTAAAAGACTTTGTGCTTAAGACAGTCTTAAATATAAGAACGAACGGACTATGGAATACCGTCCTTTATTACGAAAAATGAGAGTTTAAATTTAAAAAGAGTTAAGCTGGGAGCACAGGCTTTACATAATGCATAAGCATAAACCATAGCGCATAACGGAACGCGCAGCAACGCACAATGCAATACATAAGACCGTATGCATAAACTTTATAATATCCTATACCAAACGACGCAACTATAGTAAGCAAGTGTAAGAATAATTTTATTATTATAATTAATAATTATTAGTATTACGGTTACTTTAGTATTGATAATTATTAATTATTACGGTTTTTTATAGTATTTGATGCTTGTCGTTTTCTTTCTGGGGGATGACAGATAATCTAACCTCTCAATAAATTATATAATTGTATATATAATAAGTTTTAACAATTTCAAGCCCAAAACAACAAATTCTGGCAATGATTTATATATATATATATATATATAAGCAGCATTTAAAATTTTTATTTATTTATATATATATATATATATATATATATATATATATATATATATATATATATATTAACGACACTTTAAAAGAAAAAAAAAAGTTTGTCTCCGTCTAACCTTCTCTAGACATTTTTCATACATATACACAACACAACTTTTCATAATTACACAAAGGCCTCTTTTGGATATATTACAGGGTTTGTCCGGAAAGTAATGCGTCGCATTTTTTTGTGACGCGACTATACATCGCAGAGCGATGGGACCGGTTGGGGAGGAAGGGGGGTACCCTTAGCTTTCCAACGGTAGGTCGCTCAATTGTTTCCATGCGCTTGGAGGGTTAGGACGGCTTATTCTGTGAACCTCTGCTTAGTGGTCGCGTCGAACTTGTGATGGAGAGAACGATAGAGCAACGCTATGCGATAAAGTTTTGCGTGAAGCTGGACAAGACGCCGCTGGAAACTTTTGAAATGCTCAAGAAAGTTTGGCCCCGGCGGACTTTTTTTATTTCCTCGGCTGAAAAGGGAGCTCAATGGACAACAGCTCGAGTCGGTTGACAACGTACAAGCTACTTCGACGGCCTCCCTGAACAGCATCCCAGTCAAGGAGTTCCAGAAATCTTATGACGCATGGAAATCGCGTTGGCAAAAATGTATTGACGCAGAAGGGTCATACTTCGAACAATTTTAAGTTGTTTTACCTATGCGATCAATAAATTCTTCTTTAAAAAAATGCGACGTATTACTTCCGGACAAACCCTGTATTTCTTACATATATAAAGTAAACACAAGAAAAACACCGGTTAACCTAACTTATCAAACTTTCTCAATTACTTATAATAGGCTAATAAATACGCTGTAGAAAACAATAATACTATTATGTACATTATTTATACTTACTGCTCTTTTATCCATGTCGATCCGAGATATCAAGTCAAAGATTTTTAGCGTCTCTTTCGCGCGTCGCGATTGCTTAGGAGGAACGATGCGGGAATTAATAATGTGATGCGACGATTAAATCAACTGAATATATTCTTCAATGCAAATTGTACGTGTGAATACATATAGGTATATCGCTCGGATTAATAAACGTGCGTTCGTGCGCGGCGACTGTCGAAGACGGAATCTCTCGTTATCTAAAAATCTCCTATTTATACCTTGCCTCAAAAACGCCCTTCGCTAGGCTTCGAGAGGCTTCGCGAATTTTCTATCTATTTTTACTTGTTTGTTTCTGTCCTACTCGTCTTTCGTCTCGTCTGTAATATTTATTTATATTTATTTGTGCCTTTGTCCTTTTCGTATATGTCAATGTCCGTATTCGTATGCGTGTTTTCCTTATTAATTTCAGGGAAGTATGTGACGATGTAATCGCCACAGATTTTTTTATAATTTAACAATTTATTATGCACTTCACTTTTGCCGTACTACGTATACTACGTTCCGTCGGTTCCGTTTGCGGATGTCGCGGATGACACGTGACATAAAAGATTTGTTCTAAATAAGATCTGATGTTCTACCGTCTGTTCTTTTTAATTGAACTGGCTGGCTGAATATATTATTTTAGAGTGTATATCTTTTCTTTCCAATATATAAAATAAAAGAGATAAACTCTAAATTAGTATGATTAATTCAATTAAAAAGAATAAACTATAAGATATATACATTAAATTTAAAATTAACTAAATAATGCATTAAATCAAACTCAATATATAAATGCAATATATATAGAAATTGCATATATATATATATATATATTATATAAAATAACGCTGGAGGTAATATATAACTGAATCAAATTGTCTCATCATAATATAGTCATTTTGATATCAATATGACACTGATTGAGTTTTCCCTACATATTACTACAATATATCATCTAAACTTTCTAAACATTCACTTTAATCTTTTTTATATATAATATTTCATTATGCACGTTAAAATATATGATGTCAATTTTTCGTCATATTGAATTACTTCTTTGACGCAATGACGACATACGACAGTTTTGATGTCATATTGACATCACTTTGACTAGGTAGTTTTCACTGGGTTGGCTTTTAGATGTGGAGAATCCACTGTCAGAAAAGTTATCCATGAAACCTGCTCTGTCATATCAATGGTATTATAACTCATTTATCTTCGTTTACCAACGGAAAAAGAGTGGAAAAATATTTGTGCTGGTTATATGGATAATTGGAATTTTCCCAATTGTGTTGGGTCATTTGATGGAAAGCACGTGCAGATACAAGCTCCGCCCAATTCGGGGACTTTATTTTTCAATTATAAGAAAACCTTTAGTGTAGTGCTAATGGCAGCATGTGACTACAAATATATGTTTACTGTGCGCGACGGAAAGCAGGATAGGAAGGTCGGAAGCGAAAGGACAGCGAAGCACTACACTCGACACACACGTAACGTAAACAAAAAATATATTTACACTACGAACAACAAAAATTACAATTGTTTAAACCGCACAGAAATTGCCAGAGAATTAACTGATAAGAATAAATCAAAAGAAATAGCCGAGTCGATAATTAATAACTAAATGTTCCGCAAGCAACGGTAATTAAACGTGAAAAACGAAAAAGACAAGCGATCTTTTTCGTAAAGTATAAGCACACTCTTGACGCGACAAGCAATCGGAAAAGAGCGCCGCGATCACGAGAGAGGAGGTTTATATAGGCCCGTATTTCTAGAATAGTCGAGAACAATTCTCTTTATTTTATAGTTCGGCTGAGGGCGAAAGAGCGTTTAGTGTAATTATTTACTTTCAGGAACATAATCGTTTTGTTTTTATCGGGCCTAAATTGTATCTCCTCTCGCGTGACCGCGGTGTTTACCATTATCGGTGATTTGACGTAAGCGCTTCCTTTTAGCAGGCGCGGGGTATACGTATACCTGTGCGGCCGAGCGCTATTTGAAATAATATTAATATAAAATGATGCATGATGCATGTTGCATGTGAATGAAACGATTGCATGAGTTTTAACGCAATAATGTTTTAAGCCTTTTCAGCTTGCGTTAGACGTTCGATTTTCGAACATTTACGCTAGTTGATATTGGATCATACGGTGGTAATAGTGATGGAGGGATTTTCACTTCTTCTGAAATTCATATGGCTTTAGAAGAAGGAAGATTAAATCTTCCCACAGGGACTGCAAATCTTCCCGGAAGCAATATTAAGTTACCTTGTTTTTTTCTTGGCGATAGTGGTTTTGCCATTAGCACAAAAATGATGCGACCTTACTCTGGAAAATTTGTAAATGAAAAAAAGAAAATATTTAATTACAGGTTTGTAGTGTATGTATTGTTACAACATTTTATATGGTTATAAATTTATTTATTATCATAATTTTATTCATGCATTTTACTGATTTTTAGATTGTCTAGAGCAAGACGTACTATAGAAAATACTTTCGGAATTTTATCGGTACGATGGAGGATTTATAGGAAACCTATTCATATGCAAGATTGTGTACAACCACAGGCCAGAGTATATTGTCCTCCTTGCTTTATAGACTCAGAAGATGCCGAAGGGAATATAATCCCTGGACAGTGGCGGCAATATGAAAGTGTACTTACAGATATAGCTCCTACTTCCATGCATCGTGCTACTGCAAATGCTTATAAGCAACGCGATAAACTTGCAGATTATTTATGACATCACCTGGTGAGATTTGTTGGCAGTATGATTATGTTAGAAGAGGACAACATCGGGATGAATTTTAGTAAGAAGATTTAATAAGACGTTTAATATAAATTATAATAATATAAGTTATAACTTAAGTATTATAATTTATATTAAAAGTCTTGCTCATCTTCTTACTAAAGTTTACTTTATATATAAAATAAGCTTGTAAATCCTCTAAACTTATAAACCGTGATCTATTTATTAAATAAGAAATACATATGATTCAGCTTAATCTTAGTGGATGAAAAAAAGAGAGAAGTAAATTGATTAATTTACAAAAAGTCGTTTAATATATGTTGTACTTTGTATAATTATTATAAAATAAACTGCATATCTTTTTTGTACTAATACAGAAACATTGTAAGAAACATATTGTAAGAACTTTTAATAATACAGAAACATTGTAAGAACTTTTTTGTAATAATATAGAAACATATTGTAAGAATCTTTTTGTAATAACACAGAAACATATTGTAAATACATGTGTACATTGTGTAATAAAATAAAAATGTGTACATTGTGTAATAAAATAAAAATCTTATGTATGTACTACTACATATAATTGTAATAAAATAAATTATATATTCTTTCCAAAATAACAAAGTATTCGTACGTACTATATTAACTATATAATATATATTTTTGTCTTAAAATATATCTCACTTGAATATCACATTAGATATCATATATAATGCGCAATAATTCTTTCTTTTTATCTGTTTTTTGTGTTTGGTGGCATATTTATTAGTGTTGAGAGTATTAACTGGCAAAAAGCTACATCTTCTTCTACTTCGGGCTTTAGCGTAGATTGCGAAGAAGTTGAATATTTGTTTTCCAATAAAAATGTTACCTTACAAATTGCATTATGCAAAACATCCGGTTGTTTTCCTTTTACTTTTCTTTTTGACAATAAATCTTTCTTCTGTACAGCGGCAGAGGTACTTAATTCTGATACGGAATTTGTTTCTGATATATCGGATGAGTGTACTTGACTTTGAGTCTTTACTGAAATAAACAAAAGATTTGAAATATTAATTTAAATTTTTATGTATTCTATTTTTTCTATTTATATATTTATGTAGATGTATATAAAATATATAATTCCTAGTAAATATTATACTACAAATTTGAAGCAATCTGAATAAAAAATATAATTGATATTTTTCTCATTCCTAATAATTATTTTTAATTTTTCATTAAACAAAAAATTACTTTTAATAATATTATATATATATATATATTCCAAAGTTTTTTTTTACATTAAATTTATCACAAATTTTATTTTTATAAGTAAAAGCAACTATACCTCAGATTTTCTGTGTACGTACTTAATAAATCTGCATTTATGTTTACGTTTGTGTTATTTTTATCATTTTCCTTTTCATTAAAGGTATTGAAGTTTCTGAAATAAAAAGTTTTATTAACAATTTGCAAATATACACGAATATATAAAAAATTTTCTTCCAAAAATAAAAAAGTATAATATATTATTAAAAAAACTAAAGCTTGTGAAAATATTTACCTTATGTTTTGTGCACTACAAGATTTTGCAACCGGAAACTGTTTAATGGTTGCCATTTTTGCAGAAAAGATTTGCTGTCCCTCGGTTGCCATTTTTACAGGAGAGATTTGCTGTCCCTCGGTTGCCATTTTCACAAAAGAGATTTGCTGTCCCTCGGTTGCCAATTTTGCAGAAGAGATTTGCTGTCCCATATGTAAGCCGAAATTTCTGAAAAACACATATTCTAAAGTTTTCACTGATACATTAATGGTTTGACTGATTTACAAACACCACTTTAGTTTTATAAAGATTAATTAAAATATTACATACTTTTGAAGACTGGAATATTTTCCCGCTAGAGGTGCTTGGAAAGTTTTCATGTTTGTTACTGTTCTCAAAAAGAAAAAATGAAAACTAATCGTTTTATATCATAAAAAGATTTGTAACCGATCTTCTTATCATACAATACATTGTATCAGGAGACGCGGTAGTGTCTCCCGCCATGTGTTCAAACCCTAAAAGACCTTAAAAAAGACACTACAAGTCTCTTATCCTGCACCATCAAAGTCCATCTTTTGGGGGTGTAGAACTACTAAAATATAAAAAATTTAAATTGCACGTAATATAACCTGAAAGGCGGCATCGCCACGAGTAATTTGAGCCAAGAAGGAATAAAATCGGTCAAGCCGTTCTGGAGATACAAGCGGTCAAAAAGTGACGTTTTTCATGAAAAATGAAGTAACGTCGTCTTCTTCTTCTTCTTCTTCTTCTTCTTCTTCTTCTCTGTCCGCGTCCGCTGACGTCTCATCAGGATTATATATATATAATATATT